CTCTTCCTTTTTGATTTTCATTCCTTTTATTTCTTTCTCTTCTCTTATATTCCTATTCAACTGTGAAAATTTGTTTTGATCAACTCTACCTTGGCTCTGTACTTGTATTTGTACTTGGTGTTGAATTAGTCCTTAACTAGTAAAGGTGCCAATATACCACCTTCTTGCCTCCTCTCCCTTTGGGAGCCTTCTCTTTTGTCAGCATCATCTGCTGGTGTGAAATATGTACCAATCAGGATGATGTAACAAGGAAGTGCAGGGCCACTACTTCTTCTCTGACACTATGTGTTCTTTGTACCATTTCACTTGCACAAATCCATCTGGACCATTTGCTCCCCTTCCTTCTTCCTCATTTTATCTTTAGAGGTTCATAATTCTTAGGAACATAGTGCTGGTAGGCAAAAATGACTAGCTTGCATTCAGAAAAATCACTAAAATTGACTATAGTCTAAAGGCATTTGGAAACATCTCTCCCTTTTGGGGTTCCTCAATTCTATACTTTATTCCTATGTAAAGCAGCCCCTTTTCTGAGGTGTACTCCAGTGAAATGATGTGCTTGCATGCAATGGGGGAATGATGTAGAGGGCAAAAGAAAGTGAAGTCAGTTGGGAGAACCAATGAGCTTTTAGCAACTCAATATCTAATAGTCATAGCTTTACAAAAGTAGAGGAAGGAACAGGGAGAAATATTGGGGCCTGGTTCTGCCTGATGGGCAGATATCACCACCCAGGGAGAACAGATCACCTGATTTTGCTGATCTGAAAAAAGGCTGTGAGACAGCATAAATTTTATATATCTTGTTGCTCTGGAGGGATTCAGTTGGCTTAAGCAAGAAAAACTAATTCAGAATGCATGGTGATGACAGAAAACTAGTTAAATTCTGGCCAGGAACTAAATAAGGTGTCATATAAATGGAGGAGAATGTCATTGTGGCTGGGGCATATTGGTGACAATTTAAATTGCAAATGGGAAAAGAATTACTGCTAAAGCAACTCTCACATGCTGTACTTCTTGCTTGTTGCTATTTCACCCACTACTTTTCATCACAGGAAATCCTAACAAAAGGCTTCCTAAAAATTCAAGCAGACTAAGTGTCTGCAAAATCTTTTAGCTATTGTCTTGGTCACCTTTTAGAATATTACAGCTTTACAGAGACTCTGTTATGTGGACCCTACTAAGTTATGGGATATCCAAATACTGTTTTATTGGGATGCTAATCAGAGAGGTCTCAATTCACACAGAAAATTGCCAGGGCTATTAAATGTTTGCCAGTCAGAAGTTACTTCAAAAGAACCTGGATAAAAACTGTACCATTTACATTCACATATGTCATATTAAAAAGAAGACAGGTGACAGGAGACAAATACTCGGGACAATTTTGCACTGTTTTACTTTAACACATAAGACCATTTCTGATGCATTACTGAGCCAGTCCATACTGAGATTTACATTAAATGATCTGGACCATTTCTCAAATGTCTAAAAACATTTGTCTGAAAGCAGATGAACAATGCTCAGCTTCTCAAACAAAACATGCCATGGCTCAAGACTGGCTAACATTCAAATCCTTTGCTCTGAAATATCTCACCTGTACAGCAGACCTGTACATATATTCAAAAGAAAGGTGCTGGAAATGTTTTGATTACCCTGGTTGGTATGGAGAAAGAATATCATATGTATAATTGACTACCACTGCCATCTTACTTATATTTACTTTGGAGTAAGGTCAATGAACGCAGTGGGACTTATTTCTGGGTAAATTTCTATATGATTGTGCTGTTCAATTGAAAGGGGAACAGATTTTATGATTAATCAAAGTGCCTTGAGTTGTTATGTGGTTTATAATTCATCACCGACATATTAATCCCCAAAAGCTCAGAGGAGATTCAGATGGCAATAATCCCAGATGACAACAGCTTCAGAAAACTCTGCTGGGTATCTGCACCCGTAGTTTGTGTGTTTTTTGTCTGGCGTGAGAGGAGGTGAGGTAGAGGCAACCTTCTCATTTCCAGAGGCCATCTTTACGATTCTGTCAGTAGCTATACAAAATGGATGGAGCCAGGATTTTCAGATTCTTCCTGCCTTCCCCCATTCTGGATTTCTGGAAATATTTTTGAACTTTTCACTAATTTATAAAGTATGTTAAGCTTATTCAGCAATGATACTGTATTTCTCTATTTCCCCCTCTCAAAATATGCCACCACTTTTTGGTAACTGTAGTCAAAGTGACTTTGGGGGTCACAAAGAGGGGGTTGGAGGTCACATGTGGACCTGGGCGATCAGGTTGCCCCCACTTGTTTTAGAACAGTATATACTTTTCTAGGATCAACTTACCACATGGCATGCATGTAGGTTGGAGGTAGACGGGGGCTGCTGACTGGTGTGCAGTTATAAGACCTCATTATTCTTTCTGCCAGCAAAAAGTTTCGAAAAAGGCTTGCTACTAGAAGATCCTGTCTGAAGAGCTTTTGGAAAAGATCTGCAAAAACAAACAAAAAACTCACAAAAGATATACAAATGGAAGACATCCATAAAGAACGTGGGAGGTGGATATAGTGGAATTAGAGCATTCCAGCAAGAACCACTGCAAATTTATTTATTCAATTTATATAGCCGCCCATCTCACATTTGTGACTCTGGGTGGCTTACACTTAAAACATAAACAGTATCAAAAACTCTAAAATAAAACAGCCATACAGACAATACAAATGTTAAAAACAATTAAACAATTAAAAATCATACAGTACGATCATTGGGAGAGTACAGCCATTCAAGAACAGTACAGCCATTTTATGGGCTCCACACCACTCTTTGATCCCCAGGCCAGAGGCAAAGGCCACCAAGGTTAGGGCCAGCCTGACCTCAGGGAGAATGATGTTCCCTAGGGTGGATGCAGCAGCAGCAAAGGCTCTCCTCCTCAGTCCTGCCAGATTCAGTACTCTCTCCATTCTTGTTTAACATCTACATGAAACCACTGGTGAGATCATCTGTAGCCATGCGGTGATGTATCATCAGTATGCTATATATCTCCGCCCCTGGTGAAATAAGCGATGCTGCCAATGTCCTCTCTTGGTGTTTGGAGGCTGTAGGGGTTTGGATGGGGAACAACAGCCTTGGCAAGACTGAGTGGCTTTGGGTTTTGGGGCCACCTGGATCTAGGAATTTATCATCTGTTGTTCCCCATCCAAACCCCTACAGCCTCCAAACACCAAGACAGGACATTGGCAGCATCGCTTACTTTACCAGGGGTGAAGATATATAGCATACTGGTGATACATCACCCCATGGCTACAGATGATCTCATCCAGTGGTTTCATATAGATGTTAAACAGGAGTGGAGAGAGTATTGAATCCTGTGGCACTTCACAATTAGGGGCCAAGGGCAGGACCTCTTGCCCCCAATCAACACCGACTGAAACCAGCCAATGAGGAAGAAAGAGAACCAGCTCAATACAGTGCTGCCTACTCCCCACCCCCACAGCTGGTCAAGAGGGATACCATGGTCAACAGTATCAAAGGCCACTGAGAGGACAAGAACAGCAAGGTTGGATGTACTACCCCCATCCTGCTCTCGCCACAGGTCATCAAAAAGCATGGCCAATGCTGCCTCAGTCCCATACCCAGGCCTGAAACCCAACTGAAAGGGGTCTAGATAATCTATTTCATCCAGGATCCTCTGAAGCTGTTGCATGATCACCTTTTCAACAATCTTCCCTAAAAAGGGAAGACTGGATATTGGACAAAAATCTTCCAAAAATGTTGGGTCCAGTGATGATTTCTTGAGGAGAGGGCAGACCAATGCTTCTTCAAGGAGTGCCAGCACCACCCCCTCTCTCAGAGACAAATTTACCACCACTGAAACCCAACCACATGTCACCTCTCTGGAAGCTTTCGCCAACCAGGAAGGGCATGGATCTAATAAACAGGTGGCCGAGCTCATAGTCACAAGGGCCCTGTATGCTTCCTTGGGCCCAACAGGTTTGAACTCCTCCCAGGTAACATGGCAAGACTGTGCCCCAGGCATCTCCACTGGACCTGTACCAAGACTGGCATCCAGCTGGGAATAAATCCAAGCAATTTTGTCCAACAGAGGCTCTGCAAATTCCTCTGCACAGCCCTGGAGAAACAAACTCCTATATATTATATATTAACTTTTAAATACATCAACGTATTTAAATGTATTTACAACTACCTGAGTTTTCAATTAAGAAGTTACACTTAGACATTTTTTCCCAGACTTTCCACTTCTGGAAAGTACTACAGAAGTAATGTAATTCAAGCTGTGGTAGTAAAAGGTATGTCCCCCCCAATACACATGTGAGCTGCAGTCACCACCAAACCCATGAGGACCCCCCCCCCCCAATACATACAACTGCTTAAAGTGCCCTTGTAAGAAAACATTAACAGCAAGCTGAATTGAACCTGAGTGGCAACAGGGAGAAGAATCAGTCAGGAACCTGTGGCCCAGTAAACCAAATAATTTATATTCATTGATTATATCTCAGAGATAATACAGCTAACATGCTGACCTAGTAAGAAGTGATAAATAATAATAAGGTCACCGAGATGGTTTATCAAAAACATTCCAACATCATGCTGTAATTTCCACTGTGTCTACCTTTCCCTTTGTCTTGTCTTTTCAATATAGTAACCCAAGGTATATAAACTCTGGTTCTGCTTTTGCTCAGGGCTGCTCAGCAAAGTGCCACTGCTTTGCTGGGAGTACAGTGTATACTGTATTATTGTACGCATGTGAAATAAAATTATGTTGTATCTACAAAGTGATTTAGTTGCTTTAGGTGAGCCAGATTTTGGCCACAATAAAGCATATCTACAGAATGCCTTTCCATCACATACCATTCAGTGTCCTGAACCCATTCGGTGAGTATACCTTTTAGAAAACAGAATTATCATTACTATGAGGAATGAAAGATGGAGACCAAACATGGAAATTCAGAGCATTTGATACTGCAAGGGAATAAGGTTTGGCTCAATCCTATTTTCTATATCCCAAAAAGTCTTTTTCCTCTCTTTTTTATTTCTAGGTTCTCACTACATCCTTTTTTCTTTCATTAACTATTAGTTTTATATTCTTGCCCTCTTCTATTATAGTCAAGTTATATATATTACCAGTAATTCTGTGGACTTATCTGTCATAGTCTTACCTCTGGGTAGGACGTTCCATGCAATTGTATCCGTGATGGCTGTAAAAATCCAATTCAATTCTCCTAGAGGCGTTCTCCTGTCATTGAGCCTCCCAGGAATTCTACAAGAAATAATGAAATTTTATCATTAAACACACTAAAACAATGCTCATAATGGCTACACAAATAGCTATCCTACAAAACTGTAAGTTCTTATTCTTCTGAGTAATAAGTGAGAAAAAGAAAGTATTATGCATATTTCTTGGATGTACTGACACATACTGGAATTAAAAGTCTCAAATATTGAGTTTCATCAAGTATATAAAAATACTAGACAACAATAAAGTCCCTTGCATAATTCAGAATAAATGCTAATAAGCAAACAGGGGAATACTTTTATGGGTTTTTTTCTCCTAATGTTATAGTAAGGGTGAACTACATGCTAAATCACTAATTATATTGACTAATAAACTATTGAATCTTTTTGAAAATGAGCAACTTGGGAAGTAAGGGAATACTGAATAAATTGTAGAATAAGGCTTTTGCATTTTAGAATGCAAAATATAGAAAAGATTGTATCACTAATCTAAAAAGCAACCTCATCATGGAATATAACAATTAAAGATTATAATATAAACCAGCTCTTCCAATTTTCCAGTTATTAGGATATTAGAAGAAGAAACAGTATTTTTTGTGAACTAAAACTTCAGTTTTAGAAAACAGAAAACATTATGATTTGAAGACAACAAAGAAACCACTCATTTTGTTGTACATGTGACATTTGACTGCCTCAGTCTCAGACAGAATTCACAGTGTGGTTTAGAAATTGTGCTTCACTTCACAGGAAGCCATTAATGTGTCTCCCCTTTCCCTGCAAATTTCAGTTGATCTTTATTTCATATTGCACAACCATCTTCTCAACAATCTTCCCTAAAAAGGGAAGACTGGATATTGGTCAAAAATTGTCCAGAATGGTTGGGTCCAGTGAAGGCTTCTTGAGGAGGGGACGGACCAATGTCAAGTAAATACAATGATTTAAGGCAGGAGTCTCTAATCTTTGGGGATACATTCAGAATTTTGAGAGCAATCTATGAGCGCTCTTATAAAACAACTACCAATTAGATAGAATGGGGAGTTCGGTGGATGCCAAGGAATATTTTGTTGGACACACTGTTACCCTTGGGCACCATATGGGATACCCAGGAATCAAAGGATACCTGCCTCTGGTCCATGCAGCTCAATCAGGGTTTAAAGACAAAGTTTCTCCTGTCCCAGAACAAGATGTCAGGAATACCATCTAGATGTAAAACATGTATTCCTGAATCCCCCCACTTTCAAAAACAAAAAGCCCTCTTACATTCCATGCTAGCTTTTCTCAACTGGGTTCTGTAGAACCCTTGGGTTCTGTGTGAGGTCACCAGGGGGTCTGCAAGAGATCATGACTGAAACAAAATAAATATCATTTTTTGAACTTTGCACATTGCGCAATGCTAGCACTCACAGTGGTGGGAATTTTTATGTGCTGCGACTCATCTTAACTGATCATGCTAATGTACCATGAGCTGTAGATATAATAATTTTAATTCAGACCTGAAAATTATTTCAAGGGTTCCTCCAGGGTAAAAAGGTTGAGAAAGGCTGCTCTATGCAAAGCAACTCAGGCTAGATATATGTTGAATTTCTAAAAGCAAGCAACTCTTCAGGGAGAGAGAAGCCACTGAACACATTTCTTGACATTATTCTCACAGTTTGTTTTTGATGCTTAAAGGGAGTTGATAAAACTATTTCCAGAAGACCCTAAACTGTAAGATTACCTGCTGTTTGTATGGATTAACTGTTGATCATGTCTGTTGCACAGTTTGATCAGTATAAAAAGTATAGTTCTGGTGGCTTCCAAATAAGTACCTACCCATAATCCTTGCTACTGGCCATATTTGCTGGGGCAGATCTGAAGTCCAAAACATCTCGACAGAATCAGGTTACCTGCTGTTACAACTTATGAATCACTGCTCCACAGAAGCTTCTAATTATCAAATGGGATAACATTTCCAGCTAATAT